CCTCTTCTGTAGGTGTGCCCTGCTTTGTGGGAGTGGCTTGCCAGCCCTGTGACTGGGGGGGGGTGACCAACTTGTAAAATGTGGTGGAAATCACTTTACAACGCTCTTGCTTAGCAACCAAAATGTTGGCTCAGAAACTCTGGCATTTGAAGCATGCAAGTCTTAAAGCCATCAAATTACAAGATATTTGCACCCCTAACCCTTTAGAAAAAAAACCCCAGGGGTGTTCAAACTTGACAGCTTTAAGACTTGTGGACTTCAACTCCCAGAATTCCTCCTCTCGCTTTTCATCTTGATGATGTGTGGATGGGAGGGGGGAGGGAGCTTGAACTGGTTCTAAACGGCACTGCAGATTTGTGGAACCTCTTCTATAGAAGAGGTTAGAACTGGCAGGAACCCACCCCTGGTTTATATGTAAAATGAACAAAGGCTTCATAAGTTTATCACTGCTGTAGGTTGTGGATGAACGGTTTTCTCCAGATGTTCTTAGTACCGTCAAAGACATGAATGTGGCCAATTTCCGGAGAGTTCCTAAAATGCCTGTGTATGGAATGGCTCAGCCCAACTCCAAGGTAAGTGTGGTTTCCATTAAAAGATTTTGTTGGGACAATGTCAATCCAAACCAGATTCCCAAACTGGAATTTAAGCAGAAGCTGTACTAATGCTTCTAGATGTTTCAATTTGGTACTTAATTGCAACCAGCCTATCTTCTACTTAGGACCTATATACCAGTGGTGAGATTCAATTTTTTTTACTACCAGTTCTCTGAGCATGGCTTGGTGGGTGTGGCAGGGGAAGGATACTGTAAAATCGCCATTCCCTCCCCACTCCAGGGGAAGGATACTGCAAAATCCCCATTTCTTCCCAATCAGCTGGGACTCAGATGGCAGAGAATAGATGGGGGCGGGGCCAGTCAGAGGTGGTATTTACTGGTTTTTTGAACTACTCAAAATTTCCACTACCGGTTCTCCAGAACTGGTCAGACCTTGCTGAATACCACCTCTGCTGTATACTGCACGAGCCAGAAAGAGGGTTGAGAAAATATCTACAGACCCCTCACATCCTGGATATAAATTGTTTCAAGTCCTTCCCTCAGGATGCTGCTATGGAACATTGCATGCCAAAACAACCAGACCATAAAGAGAGACACATCCCCCTTCCCTGCCATCATTCTACTAAACACCTAATTCTCTTATGTTTAAAGATACCTAACAGTGTAGTAGGGCTGTATTGCTATTATTCTTCTCATCTTTCTCCTCATCTTTCCTACTTACCTTCTCCTATTGGTATCTTACCATTTATCACTTCCTATTTGTATCTTATGGTTTATGATAGTGTCTTATGATTTATGATCTATGACTTATCACTTTGGTTTTTTTATGTACACTGAGAACTTATGTACGTACCCTGAGAGCTTATGTACCAGAGACGAATTCCTTGTGTGTCCAATCACACTTGGCTAATAAAGAATTCTTTTGTTTCATTCCATTTCGTTCCACTCTATTCCACTCCACTCCACTCTACTCTTAATAGAATCTAGCAGAATCAGTAATATATTGTAAAGGAATCTAGCAGAATCAGTAATATATCATAAAATAGAAGAATTTTTTTTTAAACAAATACTTTTCTCTGATATTCCCTGAAAACAGTTTTGGAATTTTTTGAAAGTCATGTCTCCCCCCTCCCCCGACTTGGCCATTATCAGAATTCTCAATCCCATTGCCTGTCTCCATGTTGCCTCATATGGTCAAAGATAGTTTTCAATGCCTGCCTGTCTGCTCATTTGTCTGTTCGGAGATTCCTGTTTCAGTGAGTTCACTTCAGAAGGCCTCTTATCAAAGCTGATCTGAAAGAAACAACCGCCTGAAGGGGTCTCTATAGTTCTTTGATTTATTCATTTGATTTATTTGTAATAGCCTAAGGGATAGGAAGACAAGGCTTATCATCTGTCTATCTTTGTAGATAATTTCTTTGGTTTTCCTTTTTAAGACACTGTGAGTGTTCTTCTATTTAGGCAATTGGGAATGTCTTGAACTACCTGACAGATGCAAAGAGGAAACACTCTCACATCTTATGGATTAATCTCCGTGAAGATATAGTTCTAGAAGAGAATGAACAAACCTATACCTTACGGGAAATTGGCAATCTGGAACAGCAGATCACGGTACCTGTAGCATCCTCAGAACAACTAGAGGTGAGACCTTGGACACTAGAATTTTCTGTTGATTCCTCTGCCTACTTGTTCTGCTAGCAAATTTCTTACTATCCACAAAGGTCTTGAATAGCAGGGGTGAAATCAATTTACCTTCGCTACTGGTTCACAAATGTGAGTTTGCATGCGCCGCCTCTGTGCGTGCGCATGTACAGAGTGTAAAAAAATGGGATGTGATGACGTCCGGACAGGTGGGTGGAGCCTCCCACCGCTACTGGTTTGCCCGAACCAGATAGAACCGGCTGAACAACACCACTGCTTGATAGCATATCCAGTGAGAATGAATTCAGTGATGGGCTGTGGAGATGGTGCAGTGATGGAGAATGAGCTTTAGTAGGTAGGAGTGAGTCATGCTTTGTGTTCTCCTCCTGAGTAATTTCCCATTTCATTGCACCTACTCTCTTGCAAGTAAAAGGCGGAAGAGAAAAATCCAGAATTACTGATTTTTCCTCTTCCACATTTTATCTTAATGTATCAATTGGATGAGTTCCATATTTAAAGCAGATAAATAAAGCAGCTTGTGATATTTATTTCTTGACATAACCATCCTTCTCATGTCCACATCATGTCATCATCAACAGTGTTTTAAACCTAAAATGAACTGGAAAATGTTTTTTTCTAATTTTAGAATGGCTACAGGATATGTTCTTCCTGTAGAATTTATTTATTTATGGCTAGTCTTCAACTTACAACCACAGTGGGGGCAGGAATTTCCATTGCTGAGCAAGGTTGTTGTTACGTAAGTTGGGGCTGATTTTACAACTTTTTGCCATGGTTGTTAAGTGAATCACTGCAATGGTTAAGTGAATCAGGTGTTTGTTAATCAAGTCTGGCTTTCCTCATTGACTTTGCTTGTCAGAAGCCAGCTGGGAACGTGACAGATGGTGATCCCATGACCCAGGCCATGCTGTTATCTGTACATGCCATTTGCCAAGTGCACACATTTTGATCACATGCCTGTGGGGATGCTGCAATGGCTGTAAGTGCAAGGGCCAGTTGTAAGTCACTTTTGCGGCCCATTCTAATTTCAGGTGGTTGCTAAATGAATGATTGTAAGTTGAAGATTACTGTATTCAGTTTGCCCCTCCTGCAGTCCATTAGACTCTTGTCAATTCATGGCATAAGTAATAATAACAGGTTCATAGTAAAAGAAATTAAACACGTCGTCACTCAGTAGGTGATTAGATTGGTATAATTCCATCACAGCGTGGCCTCTGAAACAATAGGATCTTTGACAATCTGATCATGAATTGTGAGTCTGTTCCATAGCATAGATCCATGATGGCGAACCTATGGCTCATGTGCCAAAGATGGCACGCAGAGCCCTCTTTGTGGGCACGCATGCCATCGCTATCTTCTCTTCTGGGTTCCATCATGCGTATGCGTGTCGGACAGCTGGTTTGGTGTGCATGTGCGCTGGCCAGCTGCTCTTCTGAGTTCTGTCTTGTGCATGTGTGTGCATGCACATGATGGTACCCAGAAGAACAGTTGGCTGCCATGCGCATGCGCACCAGCCAGCTGCTCTCTTCTGGGTTCCGGCACTCTGGCATGCACACGCACCCTACAGTTTCAGCACTCAGTGCCGAAAAGATTAAACCAACACTGGCATAGATGAATCTCCTTTCATATCATAAAAGAGAACAGAATAATCTGAGACTTGATATTCAAGAGTAATTCCTTATTGACATTTTGTCTACATTATTTGTAATATGCTGAAGTGTTAAGCCAGGATTTTGTAACCCCTGAATTGTTGAATAAACTTTAGTGGCCCAGTTGGCACATAGCATTATGTTTTTTAAAAAATGAGTTAATACATCATGCTAATCTAGAGGTGGGGAACTTTCTGACTTGTGGATTTCAACTCCCAGAATTCCTGAGCCAGCATGGAAGTCCACAAATCACAAAAGGGCCTTAGTTCCCCACCCCTGTGCTAATCAATAAAAAAGCAACATTCTGACTTTGTGTATGGACAGTTCTGGAAAAGAGAAACTATCTTTTCACTAACCAGACATAATCATATGGGATGGATGTTTAAAGGCAGAGGGCTCTTTTATGTAATCCGGGAAAATCAGGGTTAGTCAAACATTCCTTGGCATGGGAGCCAAAGAAGATAATTTTCTATTCTCCAATGAATACTTGTGGGGGGGGGGAGTCTTGTGTAATACAATGTTTTTGGCAATAAGTGATTAAAGACAGGGATTGATTTCTGTAGAAATAATAAGCAAAGTAATTTCTTTATGTCATGTTGTTCTTCTCGGCAATAGTTGGGTGCATGCCCTTTTGTGCATTTTATATATGACAACAACAGCCCAATTCAATTATATTCTCAAGGAACTTCATATAAAATATTTTCACAAATTCTGTAAACCCTGGTAAAGGTGTGCAAGGTGTGTATCATCACATGTTCAGGGAAAGAAAATATTGTGGTCTGCCAGAGGCCAGCAGAGCTGGTAGCAGATTTAGACTGTGAGGAGGTTGGGGAGGAACATGGGCCAGTTCTGGAGTCTGGGGTAGGTTCGGATGAGGGCTCTGTGTCGGAGGCAGAGATGGGGCCCAGGGCCGTCTGACAGTTATCATCTGCCTTCGGAGTCAGACATCAGTGGGGCAGAAGAACAGCTGGAGACTATTCCCAGTGTGCACATGCCAGATGAAGGGAACAGCTAAGGAACAAGGGTCGACTTGGGAGTAAGGCCACAGGTGGACGGTGAATGGCCCTTTCCTTAAGGATAAAAGAGGAGCGAAACAGGAGTGGAGTTTGCAGGAGACAATTAGTTCATTCCTGCATTCTTGCCAAGTATTGCAGCATCTGAAAGATATCGGCCTGGCCATGTTCAAGCCTGATAAATTGTGAGCTATCTTGAAAGACCGTGGGAGAGGAAAGACTTTGCTGGAGAGGAATTCACTGTAAATTAAATAAAAGGAGGTTATTGGGATGAGGACTCGGCTTCGTGCTGCTGGGGAAGCCTAGGTTAGAACAGAAAAGACAAAAATAAGTACTGTTAATACTCTTCTTCTTTCTACTAAAGTGATATCAAGATGCTACATAACAGATTTTGTTCCTAGTCTTTGTCCTGCTTAGTTGCAAGGTCTGGATGTTTTGTACTGATTGCTCATTGCAGTTTGAAATGATCAATGTATTATGAGATGAGGGCTTTTGTTTTCAAGATATTTTTCTGTAGAGTCCATGCTCATTTGAGGCTTAGAAGAAGTGACTAAACCTGTGGTTCTCAACCTTTGACCCCCTTTAAATACCTTTTGCGGTCACGGATCATGGTCATAAACCCCCAAGAATTAATTCAAGATTTAAATCATAACATTTCTTCAAGCCATGATACAAATAAAAAAAGATTTTGATTTATGTACATTGGATTGAATATATGAGCTTTTGTTAGAAATACTAACTTTGTAGATTTACAGAGATTCGATATTGGAGAGGAGTGAGGCTTTTTGCCTTGTGAAGTTATGCAGTATTTTCCCTTAGTTGAATTTCCCCATTAATTTATGCATTGTAAGCATAAATTGCATTCCATAAAATATCCAGTCTGCCAGTTTCTCGTTTGAATAGTTGATTTTCTATTTCTGTGTATCAGTGTACTCTTCAACCTGGTTCCCTGCAGTTGTGTTTTTATAATTCCTTTCTTGATAGAAATATGGGCATTGTATTCCAACCTACCTGGAGGGCATAGGGTGAGAGAAGATTAAGCTTCTTGAAGATAGAACTGAAAGAGATGAATGACTCCCTTGTTTCTTTGACACTGCTTCAGAAACTAGAATCTGCCTTGAAGAATGATCTGTTGAAATCCCAGAAACGGATTGAGGTTTATTTGGAACAGGAGAAGCAGATGAAAACGTTGAAATCATGCTTAACCATGCAGGAGATATTTAACCGGCACAAAAGCAATTGCCAAGGGCTGGCCTACAAACGGATCCCAGTTCCAGATTTCTGTGGTCTGAAGGAGAAGGTAAGCAAGCACCTTAGAAGTTCCACTTCTGCTCAGTGGTGGGATTCAAATAATTTAACAACCGGTTCGTCCAGGATCAGGTTGGCTGTTGTGGGAGATGTGGCCCATTCCCGTCCTTCAGCTCCGCTGCACATGCAGGACGAGCCTCCCGCGATGGCTAACCTGATCTTGGGCGAACCAGTTGTTAAATTACACCACCACCACCACCACCACTCGCTATCAAAATTGATCCTGGGCATTGCGCTGCAATGGAGAAATGGGAAACAGAGCGGCCAGCATAAGGGGAGGAGGAGGAGGAAGGAGAAGAAAGAGGGAAAGTGGCCATTAAGAGAAACTATTCATTTGAATGGATGTTTTTTTTGTAGGGAAACTGGCAAAAAAAAAAAAGCAAACTCTTCTCAAATTTTGGAGGATCCATTTAAGTGGTTTGAAGTTAAAATTTGTTATCTTGCCATCTGAAAAAAACAATAATTTCTCATGACATCTTTGGTTTGTGTCCCTAGGACTTTGATCAGATACTGGAAGCCATGAAGGGGGCACTGGCTGAAGACTCCCACACAGCCTTTTTGTTCAACTGTCACAGTGGCAGAGGAAGAACTACAACAGCCATGGTTATTGCTGTCCTCATCCTTTGGCATTTCAAGGTATGTGTTCCCTGGGAGCGGCATGGCGGGAACAGTCTAGAACAGGAGTGTCAAACTCGATTTCATTGAGGTTGTGTTTGACATCAGGAGTCAGGGTGGGCGTGGTCAGGGTGGGCGTGGCCAGCTCAATGTCACTTGTGTTGGGACGCGAGGCCCTCCCAAGCTCTTTTCACTGGCAGAGGCACCGTGGACTGGTCCTTTCCTGTTTCCATGATGGCCCCGCGGGTAGTGGTGGGCTTCAAAAATTTCAGCAACAGGTTCTCTGCTTGGTTGCTGGCATGGTGGGCATGGCCTAACCGGCCTCCTGCACCAAGGCGGGGGAGGGAGGGACTGTTTTCACCTTCCCCAGGATCCAGAGGCTTTTCTCGAGCCTCTGGGAGGGCGAAAACTGCCTCCCCCAGACTCTGGAGACCTTCCACGAAGCCCGTTTTTACCTCTCCACAAGTCTCTGCGTGGGCCCTGCACTTGCTTCACATCCAAAACGGGCCATGTGGAGACTCCTGAGAGGGGTGTGGTGGGGTGGCAGGGGTAGGGCATGGTGGGCAGGGCCAGCCAGGGGTGGGATTTGGAGGTTCTCTGAACTGGCCATAACGTTAACTACAGTTTCTCCCGAACCCGGGCAAACCCATAGCAGCCCACCCCTGCCCGTGGGCCAGGTCTAAGCACCCCATGGGCCACATCTGGCCCGCAGGCCTTGAATTTGACACCCCTAGTCTAGAATTATGTAGCAAGTGGGACCTCGTATCTTGAATGAAATCCTACTGCAAAGGGTATCGGATCCCATGTTATTTCAGGGTCACAGGTTTTAATCTTTCACGCTACTTTGGGAGCTGTGTATCTGGAAGAGAAATAAATAAAATATAAGGTATGACATTAATTTGTCCAGATGTTGGCAGTCTTTGTGGTCCCCCCTCTGAGGAGCTATGTAGCAAGAGCTTCCTAATCTTGCCAAATTCATAGTCTCTTAATCATCCATTTAAAAAAGCTTTTCATGTTTGCAACACAAGACAATACTTCAAAAGGGACCTTATCTTAGTTCTGATTATATTGCTCCAAGTTGAAATGATGGCTTCCTTTTCTGGTTGAATTTGATGAGTTAAAACAGGAGAAACATTTTTAAAAAAAAACAATGCAGGGGTGAAATCCAGCTGGTTCTGGAGAACTAGTAGCGGAAAGTTTTAAGTAGTTCAGAGAACCGGTAGCGGAAATTTTGAGTAGTTCAGAGAACTGGCAAATGCCACCTCTGGCTGAGGTGGGGTGGGAATGGAGATTTTGCAGTATCCTTCCCCTGCCACGGCCCCACCAAGCCACACCACGCCACCAAGCCATGCCCACAGAACCGGTAGTAAAACAAAATATCCACTGAAGCAATGTGGATATGAGTGCTCATGTTTATTGAGCTCTGTGAAAATGTCCAGGGTGGTCTTCAGTGAGAAATGAAAGAATAACAGAGGTCCATTGAAATCAGCTCACTCAGTTCTGGCCAGAAGACAGCTGGAACTGTTTTTTTCAGAATGAATGCTTGCTTATTGTAGGATAAAAGTATTTTGTCTATTATCATGTCAATTCTATTCTTATAAATGTCAGAGCCAAGCCGAAGGCGTGTTACGGCATAGCTAGGTGGAAGAGTTGGAATTTGGTCAACCTTATCATTACTTCATCCTCAGCAAATTGTGGCTAATTTGTCTGGCAGTAAGCCAGTTTCAATCCCTATGTTATAAGCCTGATTTATTTGGAAGTTGGACAGCATATGGAATTGCACATAATCAGAAAAATAGTGGCTATGTTTCTATACTGAATAATTCCCATTCTTTTGGCCATTTACAAACTAAAATATCACCAGTCCTTCAGTGCACTATAACAATAATTTTTCAACCATGCCATTACTCTAAAAGCTCTTATTGTCGTGATCATCATATCCTACTGACAGGTATCCTGATTGACAATAACCTTAATGCACCAAAGCCTTTATCATCCGGTTGGTGCAAGGAAAGAATTTGACCCCGTCCTGAAACTAGGCCAAAGAAAAAGAGGAGAAGAAAGGACACCTGTAATTACAGCTTGAAGGGGTCCATTTTTCTCATGTTAGACTCAAAATTTCCACTTTGCCATGTGCACTTACGAAAAAAATCCAGAATGCTGCTGTGGCTCCCCGTACCCCATTTTGGTTGCCAGAGGTACCACAGGCCAGTCCTTTACTATTTCCATGCTGGTTCCAGGGGCCAGATTGAAGCACCCTTTGGCCGGATCTGGCCCGCATGCCTTGAGTTTGGCACCCCTGGTATATGCCAACTCTTTAAAAGAGGAGCCACTGTTTTAGCTTTTTCATAGCTTTAAAACTGAGACTAAGCCTGGCTTTTTGCTGCAGGGAATCCCTGAGATCACGGAGGATGAGATTGTGAGTGTGCCAGATGCCAAGTACACAAAAGGAGAATTTGAGGTTGGTGTCTTCTAATGAATGCTTTGTATTTTCTTAATATACCATATTTTTCGGAGTATAAGATGCACTGGAGTATGAGACACACCATGATTTTGAAGAGGTAATTTAAAAAAAAGTTTTTGCACTCTGCAGCCCTCCCAAACATTCTGCACGCCTCTTTTTTTAAAAAAAAAGTAGAAAAAGGGGCACACAGTGGCTTTGGGAGGCTTGTAGAGTGCTCCTGGGGGCTGGGGAAGGGGGAGGGCAAAAACGAGCATAGAAAAGTAGTAGTCAGTTGCAAGGAAGGAAGGGGAAGGAAGGAAGGAGGGAAGGAAGGAAGGAAGGAAGGAAGGAAGGAAGGAAGGAAGGAAGGAAGGAAGGAAGGAAGGAAAGAAGGAGCTTTTAAATGATGAATAACATTAACATTGCAGCAAAAGACAAGAGGAGTTAGAGAGGTATGCAAGCAAAGCTTAGCAAGTTAGCTAAACTAATATGTCCTTTGCATTTTTATGCATCCTAACGCTCAGAATGAGATAATGCACAAGCATGTCAAAGCCAAGTAGATGAATTACACTAATAGCATGCTAAAAGTCTTTGTGTTGACACATTAAGAGCAACACTTTTGAATTATTTGTTTGCAAAGTAAAATTTTGCACGATGCTGGAAGAACCGCATTCTCATGGCAACCCACCCCCCAAAAGACTCCTAATACCTAATAACTAAAATGTGACTTCCAGTTTTCTTCCCTTTTGTGCTTAACATTAACATTTGAGCTGCCCAGAGTAAATCTGACACAGCAGGGACACAGTTGATTGCAGCAACTTTACTAATCAGCTACTAGCTACTAACCAGATAATAACAAACATACTTTTCAAATAGACACAGCTATTTGAAGTTACAACTGACAAAACATCTTGGGGAGATACTTATGAGCCAAGGTGGCGCAGTGGTTAAATGCAGCACTGCAGGCTACTGCTAGATCAGCAGGTCA